ATAATACATGAAATCAAGGATGTTAGTATTAACGATAAATTTCAACCACTTGTTGTTAAAAAATATCCAAACGGAATTGAGATTGGAAGTCAGAGTTCCGCGTATGCGGCAACCGAATTTAGTAGGAAATGTCGTGTTTAGACGGCCACCATTTTGCTTCCGAAAACCCTGGGACTATTGATCGCTATATCTGGATAAAAATAAAATATTTGAGAAAACTAAAACCGATTCAGGTAATTAAAAGCCCAAACCTTACTGGTCATAAAGTTTTAGGTGGGTTTATTTTTTACGTAAAATATGAGTGGTCGGTTTTTAGGGAGACAGCCTCTTAAGCACCATATTTGGGCCGAAAGTGGTGCATTTTGCCGTGCGTAATAGAAATTAATGCAAAATTTGCACATTTCCGCATTGAATAACATTTTGCAACCAAATTTGCAAATTACTAATTTTAACATGTTCTTTGTAGCTGTGTGGATGGATTTTGTTTTTCTTGCCTAGATCAAAATTTAGTCTATAGCTGGAATCATCCATTCGTCACCTTGATATTGATGCGACAGGTGGAGTACCGTGTGCTTCTGAGTTAATGGTTATACACCATGATTAGTCTGATTAGTCATCTTTGTAAAGGCGTTTAACTGCATCATTTAACTCAAACGTATGCCCATTTGCCACATTAATGAGCACGGTTTTGATGTTTATCAATGTAGAATATATTTATTGATTGAAATGTTCCTGTAGTGCAGCCATGCACGTGTCAATTGCCTCAACACAGTGAGCACAGTGGAATTCTTTTGCGGATCGGAAATGTTGCTCACCATCTCTGTGCTGAAATTGCCGCAGAACTTGCTTCAGTCTTCACAGTTTAGGATCATCTACAAAGTTGATGGCCTTGCTCAAAGTGACTACTTGGTCATAAAACAAATGGAAGTCGTCTTGTTCACATTGCAAGTTTGTCTTCAAGGAATTGACACAAGTAATACAGATGCACTTGTTGACACATGCTAAAGATATTCTGCACAAAACTTAAACCAAAGTACGTGGAAAACTACTTCAATTGTCTAGCCATACCTGATGCGGTGTCACATATGGTGGACTTGGAAAATTCTTTGGCAATGCTAAGTAATGTGGAGTACAGGGCCTCATAACTGTGCAAAACAGCCCAGATGGCTTTGGTTCTTACCATCAACCGAGTTGGACACAGCAAGTGTGGATCCTCAACTTGCATGCTGTTGTTGTTAATCTCTTCGGCGATATGCTGGTATTGCGCCTTTCGTGTTGGTGAAGATTGAATAAACACGGCCAAGTCTTTGCACAGCCTTCAACGTATCACTGATAATTTCGCTTTCCTTCACACAATCATGCAAAGCCAAATCAAAATTGTGGTTACCGCAGTGAGTGTACAGGGCACAGGGATTATCTGAAGATATTCGGGCTGCAACTCCACTTTGCATAGCAACAAAAAATCCTTCAGCGGAGTGGTGATTGTTTGAGCATCGGTTTTCTCTAGTTCATACATACCGAGGAAATCTTCATGGACAGATAAGTTGGTTGTAGACATCCAGCGCAAAACACATGTTAATTGTTCCTTGTTGCTTTTGTCTCTAGACTCGTCTGCAATAAGGCTAAATAACTGATTCCTTATGTAGGTCTGCAACTATAGACCTCAGGACTGCATTGCCCATCATGTTAATCAACTCGTTTATAATGTCATGACTGAGATATCTTCTGTCAATCCACTCCAATAATTCAGGGACATCCTCTGCTCTTAATTTTAGCAGCTGGTCAAGCTCTGGGCCTGGTGTGCCAAATGTTTTTTTTTAATTCACCGACTAATTTCGCTCCGATATCAGTTCTCGAATCATCAAATAATAAACCTTTCTCAGTGGCCTCCGCGTGAAATTTAGACTGAGAGTGTTTTTTAAGTTTTTCTTGGCACTTCATCCAGTTGCGGAATTCTCCTAAGAGAAAGGACTTTTCACCGTTATGACTGAATGTAATAAGGTCTTGATGCATCACTCTTTTACAGAAGTAACAGGCAATGGTACCTTTCGTTATGCAATATGTGACCCAAGCGTATTTCAAAAATATAGAGGTTCGACAAGTTCGTACATTCGACGACCCTCCTTTTGTGGTTTGCTTTGTAGATGTGTGCTTTATTTCTTGGGTAGGACGGTAAGGCTTTCTGTCTGTAAAGCACAAACACTGACAGTCCAGTCCTAGTGAACATTCTGTTGGTTCAATTGGCAATGGCATAGGTCCTACAAATGGGACAGTAGTCATAGAATTTGGCAAAGACGCTAGGTTGTCAGAAGCTGTGGGAGGAGATGACTCAGTCGGCTGCACGACTGGTATCTCTGAAGAGGATGTAGGGCCAGGATCACTAAAATTTTAATCTGAATCATCACAATGATGAGATAAACAGGTTGGCGGAGTTTCCATTGTTGATGGCAGTGTCAAGTTAGACCCAGAGTCGATGTCGGGTTCAACAACTCTTTAGTTGGCACGCTACTAAAAAAACTTGTCAGTTTTCGCATCCTTTTAGCTGTTTCTGCAAGCTCTTTTTCTTGTTTTCGCGTAGCAGGTCTAGGCATGATGATTTTGAGTAGACCTCCTGATTGAATATTGTGAATTTGTAATTATTATTATGATTTGTCAACAGTCTTGCAAGAAGAATGGTCTGAGAAATGCGCAGCTGTAGAATATATAGTCTCATGTGGATCATAAATTGCGATTTCTAATTGGTTAAGTGGGGCGGACGTCTGCAAAGACAATCCCACTCTACAAATCACAATTTTTTATTTTCTGGGCAATCAAGACAAAAAACCAAGCTATAAGCCAATTTTGCATGGTGTCGATTGACTTTGTTTTACATATTTTTATACTCATAATACGCTTTTCCTATTAGCATATTATGCATATACCTCTCCAAGTGGCTCCAAATGATATATTTACTTCTGCCAGCAGTGCACTTATTAGCTTAAGGGGACACTTACATTTGACTTTTCTCTACTAGGTGACTGTTCATTGTTGATACTCAAAGTATGATTCTCCGCTAAACTTGATGAACTAACTGGTATTTGACAACTCAAGGTTTTGTCTTTGTGCCTACAAAAACACTAAATATCTCCACAAATATGTTGAAATCTGTTTGAACTGATGATTTAGAGAGGGCCCAGGGGAATTAATGAACTCTAACAATGTGTTGAATTCACTTTCCCATTCCTTTATATAACGACCTTGAATTTGTATACGACCAGTGTTTAACATTACAATTAATCATAGTGATAAGATTTTCTAAATTATTTCGTAGTATTATAGTATTATATTTCGTAGTTTAGTAGATTAATGGATATCTTCTCACATTTTGTTGCATCTGTTGATGAGTCTTGTTCTTCCCCAACGCATTTCTACTTCATGAAGCGTGGTTCTCGAAGCTGTGTTGATAATGATGCTACTTTGCTTGAATCCATAGTTGGTAATCTTACTTCTGAGGTGGAAAAAGCCACAAGATTAGCACTAGGTTTATAAATTGAAAAGTTAAGTTTTCATATGGCACAATGTTTGGCATTAGTACTCTTGAAATTTTCGACATGGTATCAGATGGCGTGCTTTATTTCTTTCATATCTTGTGGAGACAAGTCAATTGATAACAATGTCGCCATATAAATTTCAGTCAATATATTTGTCGTTTTCTTATATGAATTTGTAGAACAGAACCTGGCTTATATAGAATTTTGCAGTTAAGGTGGCTCGTGCAGTTTTCAAAAATTCAGGTGTTTAACAATTTGACATGTTCAAACTATGCATTTTTAGGATTTATTCAGCAGATATTGGGTTTTTTATATACCGGGTGTCCCAAAAAAAAGTACTCCTGTTTGATTTGTAATAACTTTTAAACAAGTAAAGCTATCAAACAGAAATAAATTGC